GAAGAGAAATGGAGATCTGAATAGTAATAGAGGATAGAGTAGAAATGGAGATCTGAATAGTAATATAGGATAGAGTAGAAATGGAGATCTGAATAGTAATAGAGGACAGAGTGGAAATGGAGATCTGAATAGTAATAGAGGATAGAGTAGAAATGGAGATCTGAATAGTAATAGAGGATAGAAAAGAAATGGAGATCTGAATAGTAATAGAGGATAGAGTAGAAATGTAGATCTGAATAGTAATAGAGGATAGAGTAGAAATGGAGATCTGAATAGCAATAGAGGATAGAAGAGAAATGGAGATCTGAATAGCAATAGAGGATAGAAGAGAAATGGAGATCTGAATAGTAATAGAGAATAGAATAGAAATGGAATTCTGAATAGTAATAGAGGATAGAAGAGAAATGGAGATCTGAATAGCAATAGAGGATAGAAGAGAAATGGAGATCTGAATAGTAATAGAGAATAGAATAGAAATGGAATTCTGAATAGTAATAGAGGATAGAAGAGAAATGGAGATCTGAATAGTAATAGAGGATAGAGTAGAAATGGAGATCTGAATAGTAATAGAGGATAGAGTAGAAATGAAGATCTGAATAGCAATAGAGGATAGAGTAGAAATGAAGATCTGAATAGCAATAGAGGATAGAAGAGAAATGGAGATCTGAATAGTAATAGAGTAGAAATAACAAGCAATTAGACATCACCCAATTTATACATTTCCTCTATGGTCATGTGATCTACTTAATTCAATAATGGAATTGCCTGTGTTTGCCCACTGACGATCTATGTTCAAACTCATGTGTCAGCAGCAACATTTTATTCCTATATAACACCATCTTTCTGCAGAACTACATCTTTGTTGCCTTAAGTTCATTATATAGCAGTTCAGTTCTCTTTGCTTTGTTCCCAACAAAATGTTTCTGTCTCTTACTAATTCAAGCCAAGTTCCAATTCCATTCAAATTTGTTATATTTACTCATGTGCAAATAGAGGTGGGAAAGATATGAATCCTTTTCTTCTCCACCCAGTAGTTTGTTAACTAGTAAAAATTGTATCACTAAACCATTTTTATCTCATTAAGATTCTCACAATCTATCTATAAATATTTTCAGGCTTTAAATAACCTGAAAAAAGTGGATAAACCTTTAAAAAAATTAATTGTACTTTATTTAGTTTTTTGGAAGGCACTTTTTGCTATTCCAAAGTGCTACCTGATTTTGGTGTCATATTTTTCTTCTTTAAATATTGTTTTCTGATTCTAAGTATAAGCATTTACATTATCCTTAAAACATTATTCTTACTCATATTTCAGTCCATGATATTCCCATTATCCTTCTGTAGAAGCACCTTTCTAATTCTTCAATTAATTTTTTTTATCTATGAAGAAATTGTCTAGCATCCATAGCCATATCAGAGAACTGTTATTTACATATCAGTTTAGCACATATTTCTTACTTGCTAATGAAATTTTCCTGTTTCTTAATATTATGCTAAGCTTTTAGAAGGCTCTTTCACTCTCCCAATGCATCTTCTGATTTCAGTGTCATATTTTCCATTCTCTGTTACAAGACTTGACAAATATTTAAATTTCTCATACTTGCTTGATTTTGACATATCCAATTGCAAGCTGTTTACTTTTAATTGATGTTTATTCCTTTCTTCTCACTTTTCTTTACTACCTTTTTTAGGAGACCCAGCAGTTTTCATTCTGTGTCTGCCACCAATGCTGTGTCATCTGCATATTATACGTTGTTAAGATTGTGCTTACCATTAATATAGTGCTTGGATATTTTCAGAGAGCATCTCAATATATGAAATTCTTCAGTGTAACTTGATATAATGTGGCAACCAACCTGAAAGAACCTTACTGCACATTCATCAATAGAGACTCTCTTGTGAGGTTACGCATTCAAAAAAAGATATATCCTTGAATATCCCTCATGGTGACTTAAAAATGTTTACCCTGTATAAGGCACAAGAGCCATTTGAGGTAGAGGATTACAGAGTAAGAGGCATTGTTTATGGGGATATCTGAGAAAGAAAATGGTTAACCCTAATCTTGAAAAGGTTAAGATTGAATTGATTGGAGAAGCATCCTATCGAGACTTAGTACTACAAAGCAGTGGTTTTTCAAAAGAAGCTACTCAATTGAAACTTACATCTCACTAATGGCATATGAAGGGAATGAGAGTCATTTGCTATAATTTGCTGGACAGGTCTTAGTCGTCAATGTGAGAACTGATGGAACTAAGGAATATAGTTTGTATGAACACTTTTCATGGAAATAGCGATAGATCAGATAGAGGCTTACAACATTTCATCTGTGCAAATGAGTGGAAAATAATTCATCACCCACAAGGACACAGTGACACTTTTCAACTTTATCCAGACTGGAAAGTGAAGACTGTGAGTACTCCATGTTTGGAAGGACCTTGTTCTTTTAAAAGTAGAGGATACCAGGAGTCAGGTACTGGAGAAATACATAGAATCGGTCATTTTCCTGTATTTTTAGTGATGGATCATATGTATGACATCCACTTGAGGTCTGGGTCATGTTGGACTCCCAATAGGTTTTTATAGCATGGGGCCTCTCCGAGGGAATACTTGTTCATCATTATAGGTAATAGTACAAAATCTGCTCGGTGATGATGGAACAGAATCAGTTTTGTTTTCATGGCATCAAATGCGACCAGCCAGTTATTCCCCCAATGAGCTGTGAGCTGCCAGGTTCTGGTGTACCTATATATTATTGTGTCATCAGCATAAATTTTCACAAAAGACCTGAATATACTCTTAGGCAATTTCTGTATGTACAGTAGAAAGATTGTCGGAGCAAGAAGTGAACCTTGGAAGATGCCTACATATGGAGGATTGTTCATTAACAACTACCTTCAGGGAATTACCCATTAGGAAGGACTTGATAATTAGAGTAGACTCTTTTAGGGATACCATAGTGAGAGAGTTTGTGCAGTTACCATCTACACTACACTTTGTCTAAGGTCTTTGTAATATCTAAATTGATCATACTTGAGATATAGTAATATCTAATGTGGTCATATGTCATCTATATTTATTGTCTAGTGCACGCATAGGGAACCTTTTCTGATTAGTGGGCCACATGAGATATGGCTCATCATAAAGTGGGCTGCACTAACAAAGAAATTTCAAGTAATTTTTTGTTGGAAATAAAGCGGCCATTTTCCCTACAAATGATCATATGCATAAGCATCTGCTTTAGAAATGGGGAAAAATTCTTTATTTTAAGAAATAATGATTTTTCCAATTTACAAACTGAAGATTTTTTTTATAATATTAGCACTGATGACATTGTGATTAACCCATGCTGCTGTGTGTGATTTGTTTTTATTTTTTTTCATTTGAAAATGCTAAAAATATCTTATATTTCTTAAGCAGAGAAAAAAAAATAACATAAAAGTTTCTCGTTTCCAAAGCAAAATATTTTTACATGTATGATTTTCCTTAATGAAAATCAACAATGGTTTAAAATGCTGAGAATGCAACCTTTAATGAAAGGTTACAAAATTCAAGAAACATTATACTTAATCATTGTCATACATATGCTTTAGTTGAACTGTCCTCACGAACAAACAGGCATTAATAAGTAAGGGAGATTACTCAGAAATTTCATAGTTAATTCCCTTTGGTACCAAATTCTCTCAAATACTTTGCATGAGAGAAAATGTAAGTGAGTAAGTGATAATCAAAGAAAGCAAAATTTTAATAAACTTTATTTTCTTCATTAAATTAGATGTGATATTCAGAAGCCCAAATCAGCTACTTGTGGCCTTCAGAGCACAGTTTTCCCTTGACTGGTCTAGTGCCTCACTGATTCTGCAAATAATGACAGTATATCAGCAGTGGACCATTCTGATCAAAATCCATACTGTTTGTTGCTCAAGCGGTTGTCCATATTGGGATGATCAGAATTCTTGAATTATGGTTAAAGCAGTTCCCAGTTGAATCATCATTTTTGCTTTGAGTTGTCAAGATTGTCATGGTATAATTTTGTTTCTCACTTTCTTTTCCAAAGAGCACCTCAAGAAATCAATCTTTTAGCAAAAACAGGAAATAGTAGTGCTCTACAGAACACAGTCGAAGACGAAAATTGAGCTATATTGATACCCTGAACATAATAACGGTTCAACAATTCATATTTAATGCTAAACCCCATTTGCATTGTTTTGTCTTGTATTGCAGAATTGGTTGGGTGAGGGAGGGGGCTGTTTGGGATGAACAAAGAGAGAGAGAGAAAAGTGTATTTTGGTTGGCAGCAAACTGTTTGCAAGTATGGTTGGGGGAAACTTTTCAGGTCGATATTAAAAATAGATAACGACGATGGATATCAATCATTTTGCACTAGAATGATGATTTATTGATTGTGTTATTGATTTTTATTAATCATTCTGTTGATATGAGGTCAGGAAAATCTTGGAAACATGTCAGAATTTATAGAAAAGTGTGATAGGTAGGGGAGTAAATATGTATTGTATAGGAGTGTATCAATATCTATTATGAATCTACCTATATATATATACACACACACTCACACACACACATATATGTATGTATTTGTATGAAACTTGAAAACTTCAGACTTCCTATATATTTACACATATATATAAATATATATATATATATATATATATATATATAGGTAGTAATCAGTTGGTATAATTCAAGCGAGTCCTATTAACACAATATAAAATTTTAAATATTAAATGTTAAAACTGATTCACAAAGAGCTCTGAATGTCTATTTTCATTAAACAGAGCAAATTTTTTCTTACAACTGGAATTAAGATACTATTAGTTAATGATCATTTTCACCTGTGAATTTTAAATTTGCATGATTATTCAAACTGTTTATGGTATCAGTTTGTAGAAGAGGACTGGTTAGTTCTGGGAAGAAAGCAAGAGAGAATGTCAGAGGGGACAGAGAGGAGGAAATGACAGAAGGTGGCATAGTTATAGGAAGTTATGTGGGGTATTATATTATAGAGGTAGAAGTGGTTAACCTTCATAATATAGTTATAACATAATATAATAGATTAATTAACATAACATAATATAATGGAGTAATTAATCTCTCTCTCTCTCTCTGTATATATATATATATATATATATATATATATATGTGTGTGTGTGTGTGTGTGTGTGAATAATAAATATACATTTTTTTCTTCACTGGTAGCATAATTCTGAATTTAATGAACTCTGAACTTGTGCGCTTTTTTTTCTAAACAATCCCTGTAAATAATATCCACTGTTACTATCATCTGGTTTATATATCAAAATTTAAATTATGTAATAGACAGTTTTTAATCAGCACCTGATGATTGTATTGTGCATATGACTCAGAGTTGTGCTACTGGTGAGGAAAAGTGTATATTTATTATTAACTTATAATTTATAGCTCTGTTATTCTACATTGAGCACTATTTTATTGACACCATCACCCAATGTGTGTTATTATATATATATATATATATATATATATATATATATATATATATATATACCGGGTGTATCAGTAAAACTTTTCACATCATGTAACAGCATGGAATAATTATCCATCCCCGAAAATGTTTAATATTGAAAAAAAAACACTAAACTAATTGAGTTTCTTTTTTCCAGGTTTTCAGATAAGATGTGTAGCCATCTTGATAACATTTTTCATAAGAATCATTAAAATCCCTTTGAGTTATCCAACTAGAAAGAAAACAGGTTAAAATCAGTTCCCAACTGAGCAATGATGAGAGGAAAAAGATCATACAAGCCTTGTGTAATGGTACCAGTATTCATACTCTGGCTTCCAATTTCAAAATCCATTCAAGAACCATCAAGAGAATGGTGAATAAATTTAAAAAAAAGAGGAAACAGTAGACAGGAAAAGTGGACAAGGTTACAACAGGATGAGGGAGTGTCATTTTAACTTAGAGCTAAATATATTCTTATTGCTCAAAGTAGAGTCCAATATTGTTATAAAAACTTTGAAGAATTCCAGTAATATATCTTTAATCATTTTTAAGATATAATGGTTCAAAGCTTAATCTAACAATTTGGCAATATATATATATATATATATATATATATATATATATCAGGTGTCATTCAAAATTTGGAAAAACTTAAGATTGGAAACAACTTCCTCAAGAAAAGGAAAAATTTGACAGAAAATGAGTTTCTTTATATAACTTGATGGTGAAATTGTTTCAAGAGATGGGTGAAATGTCTTGTAAGACTTGTGGTCTGGTTTGGTTTATTTTCTTTTACAGCATATCAACCTCAATAGGTTATGTATAGGTTATGTATAGGACCTTCTCATTGAATAATTGTTACAAATGAAGAAAAGACTTACGACAACAGAAATGTAGTTTGATAAAAGGATACAGAGAATATGACAAAGTGTTAGGGGAATAGGGGAATTGAAAACAAAATGGAGACTTATACTTAGCATCAGAAAGTCATTATTGATAATTGAAATTTCTAGGGCATATAATGAGGAAAGAGGGTGTAGAAAATTTGAAACCCACAGGATATTATATATATATATATATATATATATATATATATATATATATATATATATATATAGCCTACCTTTTAAATGGAGGCAGAACAGGGATTAGTAGTTATAAAAAAAAGACAAACTTTACTAAGAGCTACAAAGTACAGGAAATTGTGGAGAGCCATGATCACCAATGTCCTGAAGGAGCATGACACATAGAAGAATAAAGATAGGAAAAGTGCCTCACTGTGCCTTCTCAGGCTAATGTTCTCAGCTGATATAAAGTTGAAAGACCATATTGAATCAATTGCTATGTCATCTGCTAAGAAATTTGTTTCACTGTATCATGTAAGACAATTTCTCTTTCCAGAATCTATCTTACAAATCTATGTCTACCATTCACCCATGCTTAGAATATTGCTACTACATATAGTCTGGTGCTCCTGCTATTTATCTAGAACTCTTAGATAAAATCCAAAGAAGAATCAGAAATATTATTGGTTCTGATGTAGTGTTTTGGTTTCAGTCACATTTCCACCTTTGCCTTTTCTGCAAATACTTTCATGGTAATTGTTTAGATGAGATCTAAGCTATGGTACATATACTTTTTGAATTTAAGCGTAGTACTAGAGTGGTGTCAAGATTTCATCAATCAATAGTGGAATTGGATAGATGTAACCTTAAGTTCTATGCTAACAGTTTCTTTTGCAAAAATTTAAATGCAATGCCAATACCTATCTACTGTCCTCCTGATTAGTCTTTTTGTTCCCGTTCATTAGCAATATTCATGTTGCTAATTCTTCCACACCCAGTAACCTCTTGTGTTTTAGTGTCTTTACTGATTTGCTTAGGGTGAACTTGATCAATTGGTTTGGTTTGTTTTGTTTTATGGCATATCAACCTCAATGAGTTATTTAATGCTGACAAGATTTTTATTGCTGGCAATATTTTCCTTTTCAAAAATGCACTGCTGACAACAATGTATTGTTGGTAATAATTTTCTACAAAGTGTTTCTGGTATTAAAACCCACTTCCACACCTTCACAATGCCCCGAACCCAGCCTGGGGATCAACCACCCACTCATAGATGGGACCCCAACAGGTACCACCACCTCGGGGCAGGACAGACCCAGGAATGCCAGCAATCAAGAGGTGGTTCCATGCTCCTCAAAACCTTCTGATCAGAGGCCTTGCTGTTGGATGTAGTTTATACCCAGGATGGAGAACTTGATTAAAATTCAAAAAAGAAAAGGAGGGCTAGCACAAAAACAAACCTTGCTAAGAGGTACAAGGGATAGGAAATAGTGGAGAACCATGATCTTCCGCATCCTGAAGGAACATGGCACATAGTAGAATAAGCAGGGATAGCTCAAAAATAAATCTTGCTAAGCACTACAAAGGATAGGTGATTTGGAGTTCCATGATTGCTCATAGGCTGAAGGAGTAGGGTATGTAGGAGAAGGTTAGTTCGGTTACATTATCTCATTTTGATTTTAGAAGGAAGCTTTTAAGACAAAAATTTGGCAATAATCTTGAGGAATTTTGATTTGAAGAAAATGATCTTTGTTGTGGAATGATTGATTCATTCATTTTTTACAGCTTATCAACCCTTTAATTAACCTTATTTAAAGACAGAAAATATTTTGTAAGAAATTCTTATTTTTTGGAGATAATAATGATTTAGTGATACAAGTCTTACTGATTAACCCATAGATGTGGGGAGAAGTGGTGGATTCATACCTTTCTCAAGAGTATTTGTGTGGAAGGGAATATAATGAACCCAACAGGAATTAGAACTTGGCTCTCTCATTAAAATCCATTACACCACCCACACATCCAAACTTACCACACCTAGATGGGCTACCGCTTGGGTGTGTACCCAAGCGGTAGCCTATCTAGGTACTAACCAAGCTTAACATTGTTTATCTTTGATGGTCATACAAGAACCAGTGTTCCGATGTAATGTGACTGTAAGTTCCTTGTGGAATGAGAGAAACACAATATCCTAAATTGACAACAGAATCACATGAAAAATTTACAAACAAATAGATCAAAAAGGCAACTTTGTGGCTAATAAAGGAAAATTATTACTAATAAAAGAATTCTTCTTCTGTATGCTGTGCCTCTTAAGGATGTTGAAGATTACAGCTCTCCACACTTTCTCTCCTTTGTAGTTTTCACAAAAGAATTATATATTATATAAATTCTACATTAATCAGATTGTCTGTCTATCCGTTTCCTGCTTGTCTCATTTCTTTACTCCTTTTCCCTCACCTCTCATTTTTTTCTTCTTCTTAAGCCTTGACTCTTTCTTTTTCACTTATCATCCCTTTATCCTTTATTTTTCTTTTTCATTTACATTTCCAACCCCTTATCCCATCTCTCATATTTTTCATTTTTCTTTTCTCTCTCTCTTTCATTTACTTTTTCAGTTCCTTTTCTCTTCCATTCTCTTTTTTCTTTCCTTTTTATCACTCATTTACTTTCCCTTATTCCCTATCTCTTTCTTTTCCTTTTTCTTTTCTATCTCATTTAATTTACCACTCCCTTTCACCTACTCTGTTTCTTTTTTCTTTTCTTTTTCCCAATCATTTATTCTTCAGTTCTTTTCATCCTCTCTCTCTCTTTCTGTCTCATTTATTTTCAGTCCCATTCACCTTCTACTTTTTTCTTTTGTTTTCTCTCTCTCATTTAATTTTTCAGTCTTTACTCTGCTCTCATTTTTATTTTTATTCTTTTCTCTCTCTCTCTTACTTACTTTTTCAGTCCCTTACCCATCTCACTTTCTTTTTCTTTTTTCTTTTCTTTTTTCCTCTCTTTCTGTCACACTTTTTATCACACACACACACATTATCATTTTCAGTTATTATCCTTCTGTCTCTTTTTAATGTTGTTCTTCTGTCTTTAACTTTCACTTTTTTACCCCTCTCTTTCTTTTCTTTTCTCTCTTTTTACTTTTTCTGCTCCTTTCACCCTCATTCTCTCTTTCACGTTCTCTTTGTCTTTTTATCTCATTTGGTTATTTTTTCAATGACTTTTTCTATCTCTCTTTTCTTTCCTTCTTTTTTCTTTATTAATCATTTTTGCTTTTATTCTTTTTCTTTCCTTCTCTTTATTTTTCTCTTTTCTTTTTCTCTGCTTTTTATTTCTCTCTTCACTCACATTATTTCCATCATTTTCTTCTTCTCTATCTCTCATTTCCTATTTCTCGCATTCCTTTTCTTTTTCCTTTTGTTTCTTTTCTGTTTTCTTTTTCTCAATCCTTCTCTCATTTTCCTTTTCTATTTCTCTCTGCTTTTCATCCCCAATCTTCATTTCTTATTTCTCTCTCTCTTCTATATTTCTTTTCGCTTTCTCTCTCAATTCTTCTTTTTCTTCCTTTTCTCTCCCTTTTCTCTTTGGTTTTTTTATGTTTTCATTTTTCTCTTTTTCGTTTATCTTATTTCCCTTATTTCTCTCTCTTGTTTTCTTCATTTTTCTTTCAAATTTTTTTCTCTTCTTTTCTTCTTTTCTTCTCTTTTGCCCTTCACTTTTCTCTCTCTGCCACTCTTTTCTCTTTTGCTCTTCTTCACTTATTTCTTTTCTCCTCCTCTCTTTTTTCTCTTCACTGTTTCTCTCTTTCTCATTTTCTTTTTTCCTTTCTGCTTTCATATTTTCTTTTTCTTTTTTTTCCTAAACTCTCACTTTCTCTTCTTTTCTTTTTCTTTCTCCTCCTCACTGACTCTTTTGGTCTAATTTATTGAATTTCGGTCTCATTTATACAGACACTCTTTCCCAAACATTTCTTTTTCATTCCCTATTTCTGTTAAATTTTCCTTTCACTTCTGTCTCCTTTTTTCTTTCTATATAAGAAGAAATTTCTCAGACTCTTTCTCTTACTCTCTAATTTCACTCTCTATCGTCTCCTTCACTTCTTCCACCACACTCACTCACATTCTCTCTCTTTCACTAACCTCTCTTTTCCACTTTTTATTCCAAGCTTAAACTTCCTTTTCACTTCTCTCTCTCTCTCCCATTCCTTCTGTATTAGAAGATTAATTCTCTCCTCTCTTAATCAGACATATTTCTCTATATTTCCACACATTTCATTGTTTCTTTCTTGTAAATTTCTTTTTCTTTGTCTTCTACGAACTGTATTACCCATAAATCCACTGACCCATATCATTGATGATGGGGTCTGGAATTTCTAAGCTGGGTGGGGACCAGATATGGATTATAGATTTCACAGTTATAGGTTTAATTTGTACTGAAAGCATTTATACTTTGGCTGATGTAAAATCTAAATTAATTGGAAAAGAATGAAAGAAAGAAAATAATGAAGAAAAAAGGAAAGAAAAAGAAAGAAAAAGTAAATAAATAGACAAAGAAATGAAATAAAAGAAAAAATGAAAGAAAGAAATTTTTTTTTTTTAAGCATTACGCCCTGAGCAAGGCGTGAAGCCACTAGGATGCAGGGGGTTGCAGAAGATTTGGAGCAAGAGCAGATAGGAGTGATAGAAGAAAGGATGAGGAGAGGGATAGTGGATAGATCAATGTAACTGGAGATGTCGATTGACATTACATTTGAATAGTTGGAAATTATAGCTCTCAAGGAAACAGTAATTTGGAAGGGTGTCCACAGGCGAGAGGTGCAAGGTATGAAGCTATTGGAGTAGAAGAGACGGCTACATTTAAAAGTTTCTACAGTGTAAGGGTGGGAGCGGGATGCCAACCTCGTAGGGCACTTGAATTCATGGAGTTTGGGAACCAGTGAAAGCAGATGGAGAAATAACTAAAGGAAAGAAAGAAAAATAAAGAGATAAAGAATGAATGAAGGAAAGAAAGAATGAAAAGAAAAAGAAGTAAAAAAGAAATAACAAAGACAGAATTTTTTTTAATCATTTCAACCAAGCAAGGTAATAATGCCACTAAAACGGGAATGAAAGAGAAAAGACTTTAGAAGAAACCAGAAACCTAATCCTAAACAGTAAACAAGGGATAAACCTCTACTCCTGTTCAGAAGATGAGAAAGGAATGTGAACATGGCCTTTTTTAATTTTCTTTTCTATAATGTTAACCCTGTATAAGGCCTGGGAGACATTCCAGGTAGAGGTTTACAGATTAAGAGGCACAGTTTATATGGATATATGGGGAAGATAATGGTTGACCCTAGACAAGTACAAAAAAAAAGGAAATGAAGAAAAAGAATGAAGGAAAGTATGAAAGAAAAAAAGTAAAAAGAGTGAAAAAAAGGAAATCAAAAGAAAGAAAAACTAAAATGAAAAAAGAAAGAAAGAAGGAAAACGAACAGGAAGCATGAAAAAGATAAAAGAAAAAAGAAATAATGAAAAAGAAAGAAAATGGAAACTAAAAAGAAACAGAAAGAACAAAAAAACAAAAAAAGAAAGGAACCAAAAAAAGAAACAGAAATGAAAGAACAATAAACGAAAGGAAAAGGAAACAAAAAAGAAACAGAAATGAAAAAACAAAAAAAGGAAAAGGAAACAAAAAAGAAACAGAAAAAACAATTGAAAAAGAAAGAAAAAGGAAACAAAAAAGAAACAGAAGCATAAAGAATGAAAAAGAAAGAAAAAGGAAACAAAAAAGAAACAGAAGCATAAAGAATGAAAAAGAAAGAAAAAAGAAAGAAAAAAGAAACAGAAGCAGAAAGAATGAAAAAGAAAGAAAAAAGAAAGAAAAAAGAAACAGAAAGAATGAAAAAGAAAGAAAAAGTAAACAATAAAGAAACAGAAGCAGAAAGAATGAAAAAAAAGAAAAAGGAAACAAAAAAGAAACAGAAGCAGAAAGAATGAAAAAGAAAGAAAAAGAAAGCTTAAAGAAAATACTCACATGAAGTAAAAAATAATTAAAAATGAACAAAAAGTATTAAAAACATAAGAATAAATAAAATAAGTGCATTTATGCCTACACAAATACGCATACATACACTTATATAGATGTACAATCATATTCGCTAATGCACATTAGAATATATGTGCATACTCATAGACACACACAAAACATATACATACACACAGACATGAACAAATGTGCATGCATATTCAAATAAACATACATTCTCCCCACCCACTACACACACAAAAGAAATCCCCAGCCACAATAAAAAACAAAAACAATATCAAACAAGAAATCATTCATAAAATCAAGTAAAAAAATCAGTATTAGTCAGAAATTAGTTTTTGAGGATTTCATTTTTTCATATTTTATTATTGAAAATGGTCTTAGGCTTTTAATTCTAACATTTTCCGCTGCATTTAAATAAGTTTTATCCTGAAACTGACATTATCTTTCATGAATGTCTATCATTCAAACAACTTGGAATAGAATCATTCCGCCCCCTGAAATATCCATATTTCTGATATTTAATCTATCTATCTATCTATCTATCTATCTATCTATCTATCTATCTATCTATCTATCTATCTATCTATCTCCGTCTCTTCATTATATATCAATCTATCTATATATCTATCTCAGTCTCTTCATTACCTCTCTCTCGCTCTATCTATCTGTTTCTTCACTTTGTATATATAAAAAGAACGTTAAACATAAATATATATATATATATATATATATGTATGTATTATGTATGTATGTATGTATGTATACATATATATATATATATATATATATATATATATATATATATATATATATATATATATATATATTCTTTTCATTATCTATCTATCCATGACAATCTCTTCACTATCTCTATATTTCTCTCTCTCTCTTTATCTATCTGTCTTTTTATTATCTATCTATCTATCTATCTATCTATCTATCTATCTATCTATATATCTATCTATCTCCGTCTCTTCATTATATATCAATCTATCTATATATCTATCTCAGTCTCTTCATTACCTCTCTCTCATATCTATCTGTTTCTTCACTTTGTATATATAAAAAAAGAACGTTAAACATAAATATATATATATATATATATATATGTATGTAATTATATGTATGTATGTATGTATGTATGTATACATACATATATATATATATATATATATATATATATATATATATATATATATATATATATATCTCAGTCTTTTCATTATATCCATCTCCATGACAATCTCTTCACTATCTCTATTTCTCTCTCTCTCTTTATCTATCTGTCTTTTATTATCTATCTATCTATCTATCTATCTATCTATCTATCTATCTATCTATCTATCTATCTATCTCAGTCTCTTCGTTATCTATCTATCTATATATCTATCTATATATCTATCTATCACAGTAACTTTATATATATTTTAGTCTGTTTATCCATCTCAGTCTCTGCATTATATATCTACCTTTGTCTCTTCACTTTCTACTTATCTATATATCTAATTCAGTCTTTGCATTATCTATCTATCTATCTATCTATCTATCTATCTATCTCAGTTTCTCCACTATTTATCTCTCTCTCTCTTGCTCTCTCTCTCTCTCTCTCCATCTAAGTAACCTTATATCAATTTCAGTTTCTTCTTATCTATCTATCCATGTCTTTGTCTATTTCTATATTTGATACCAGTCATTAATCTACCCCTATTTCCATTGCAAATGTTCAGAAGAGCTCCATTTTTAGCTCCAATTCAGAAAATTCTATTGTCACTTTCACAGAGGCAAATAATCCTAATTTTCTCTGTGTACCAAAAATAGGAAGAACATTCCACTCAGAAAGCCTTTTTCCAAGCAGTGCCACTTTGTGAAGCAGACTCCCATGTGAGTGTTTCCCTGATCACTAAAATCCTAACCTCTTCCAGAGTCAATTGATCCTTTTTATAACCATACTCTTTACATCCTACGGCCTTCTCTTTCATTCATATTATGCCTATCATTCAGTAACACTATTAATGTAGAGTTAGTTTTTTTATTCCTTTATATGTTTACCATTACTTACAGAGACTTGCTGCCATTTAGGCAAATCTTTGATGCCTTTCGAGTGAAATTTCACAGGTTTTGACTTAAAAAAGTTCAATCTGGTTCTCATTAAAGAAATTTTTCTACCATCAAGGCATTTTCTTCATTCACTGGTTTTATCATCGAGATCTGTTGAAAATGTCTTCCATCATTGGAGTCCTTGGGGTTAGTCTAGATCTTTGTCTTCAATTTTGCTGCCAAAGTTTGGCCCTAACAGGAGTTTAGACCTTTCAGAGTAATTGGACTAAACAAATGTCTCTACCATGACAAGGAGCAACAATCAGAGGATATGGAGCCTATATTGAGAACAAATGTCCTCTATGCAAACAGATTACAAATTGAGTGCATACACTGAAATAGAAAAAGGAGTGTGACATGAACGTGTTTTCCCAACACATTTGTTTAATTTGATGGGGGGGAATCTAAGAGAATGTGTGAGGATTTATTATTGCCCTTTATGATTTATCTTTATGATTTAAAATAGACATATGGTACTGTGTTAATCAGATTCAAAAGGACATTAAAAAAAACTATTTATCATATTAATCAGAGGCTTAGAAACTTATTAAAAATTCAATCATATATTTACTGGCACATTTCGTAAGAAGAAATGTATATGTACAGTTGTAAGAAAACTGCTAGATTGCAATGGTTAGAGGTATTTATTGGGAACAATTGCATTGTATGTGTTATAGACAAGCGTATGGTTGCAAGAAAGAAATACAACAACAGCAGAAATAGATTTACATGATTTTTTTCACCAGGAACGTGACGGTTTGGGACAGCTACCTTGTGGTATAGTTCATAAGCCGGCTTCTGATCTAGGTCGATCTCTCATAGTAGTTCACACATGTTGACGCTGACGCTCCCCTGCTGACCGTTCGGCCTGACCATGACAGGTCTCTTCCCTGGCCACTTGTTGACTGCCTGTTGTACTTCTGTGTGACCCCTTTTATAGTGTTTTTTTATGGCTTAACAGGCTCGGAAAACGGTGTGAGTATAATTAGGAGGGAAGCATTTTTATTGACCAAAAAAAAAAAACACTTTAAAATATTATTTTATTTTTCGACCAGAACTTGTGCATTGGGAATATGCGTAAACGCGTAAATATGGTCATTTTGTGACAGAACCTTGTCCCGTTCACATCCAGCTCTTGCTCTTGAGTATGTTAGTTTATTTGCCTGTAAATCAGCCGAGATATGTCTTAATTTATTTTATAACATATGCAAACACATTACACCAAAATAGAGGAGTGCAAAACGGATGCCTTTTCTCATCATATTTATTTATTAAGCTAAATCATAAATAATTTCTGTTTTTTTTTAATTATCACCTTTATTCTTCAAATAATAAATTACAATTACATTTTATTCTTTTATATATTCACCATTATTTGAAGAGACTTGCTGCTAATTATCAGGCAGAACTTTGATACGCTTTGAGTAAAATTCTACAGGTTTTGATGGGAACAAAATTTTTCAGCAATCTTTTTAATCTGATTTTTTTATTTTGGAAAGCTCACCCCATCAAATCAATCGGAAGTGATTAAAAAAGGTCATATTCAGTTGGCGAAAAGTCAGATGAATATGGCGGGTTGTGGTAGAACAAATAATGATTTTTTTTTCCTGTGTTATTTTTATTGTATGTGACCTTGTGATGTCATGGAGATGAACAACATTTTCCCTAATGGGGACATGTTGCAGCTGCTTCAAATATAATTGAGCATTTTGTGTTTTCTTGCATTTTTAAGAATTCTAAATGAATAATAGCCCAATGATCCTACCACATGGACAACATTATCTTTATTAAATGCATCTTGGCTTTTGGGGTTAGTTGTGGAGAATTATCCTCCTCAGTCCACGACTTCTTATGCTGAACATTGTTGTATGTAACCCAATTTTTATCACCTGTTATGATATATTTAATGATCTGTTAGTGTTATAAGAAGAGGAGGCACAGTGGAGTCATGGATAGTGGCTCAATTGAGGAATCGGAGAGCCAAGTTCAAATTCCACTCAAATCCATTACATTCACTTACGTGGTAATACCCTTGGGAAAAGTTTGAATACTCTTCATCTCCCCACCAGCTATGGGGCAAATAGCAGGACAGACTTGGATGGCAACTGGTCTACTGCAGAAAGAAATAGCAACCTACTACAGAAAATAGTTGTGGGAAAAGGTGATAAAACTCTTGATATGGTAAGGGAAGCAATTAGCTATAAGGGTCAGCAAGACTTTGAGTTGATGGGTTTGTTGGTTTGGTTGACCAAGGTCTCAGTTAGGTCAGAAGTGAGTCCTGGAGTGAATTAGTGAAGCTATGTGGTAGCCTGAGTGGGGTGTTATTGGTGGGGTTGATCCATCTATCTTCAAGGTTGAAATTGACATTGGTGTGGTGTGTGGATGGGCCTGCAGTCTTTTGACATGGTCAATGTATTAAACTGAACGTCTAGTTGTTGATAAGGTAGTACTTTATATCTGTTGTATGCAGGTTTCCAGGCTTATTCTGTTTTTTTTTGTGGCAACGTTTGTGATTGGCTATTGCATTTTTAATTTTTACAGGGATTTGTTTTGTGGACTAGATATGATGCTTGGATCATCTATGCTAAAGACAAATTTTTTTTATTTTGGGCTTTGCTTTCTTATCTCTCACATATGGCCAAAATATCTAGTGAATTTGTGGATCAGAAAGTGATCTTGGTTAAAGTCGTATAGCATTGGGAGGATTTGATCAACATTACAATTTTGGCTATTCCAAATTAAAATTACTTATGACTCAAGTTTATATAACATTAACATACCTTTTGGATTTATTTCACTGTTTGTCTAATAAGAATACTTTTTGAACCCATGTTGTTTACCTTTTTTGCTCAAAACTGTTGTGTTAGCAACAGTAAATTTATGAAGAAATGTTCTTTTTGATTTTTCTTTTGCTATGTTAATAACATTTCTCAAAGTATAAACAATCTTTTCTACATATTGTTCTGAACTCGTGCAGGTTTAATTCAACAGATATTCATTTTTTTCA